AAAAAACAAGTGGTTACCATTTGTAAACTGTTTTTCTAGCTCATCCATCATCGTTGACATGCTGCTAACCAGCATGTAAATTTAGACAGTGATCAAATTACCCCCATGTGAATTATGTTGTGGGCACTTATGATCAACAAATCTGAAGATAACATGAGAAAATACAAAATGCGTGCAGGCATAAATTGTTTTATATACTCCAGCTTTGAGTAAATGTAACCAACCAAAACAACTGAGGCCTTGTGAGAAATTTGTGTGACTACAAATGTTACAGAGAGAACGACAGTCTACAGTCAAGCTTCCCTTTAAACTTTACAGACTATAAATACAGTAGACTTATTTCTAATCCTGCGCCTGCCTAATTGTGTCACCATATGCATAGATTTCAGGGGACACATAGCCTTTATCTTTAGAAAACATGCCAGATAACTGAGGTGTACATGATCTAAAGCAATCATTGCAAACAAAGGTGTTTAAGTGTAAACTTTACAGCATGTTCCACGAACGCCAGGATATCCAGGTATCCCAGGAAATCCTCGCTCCCCTGCAGAATAGATAAACAGGTAGTGAGCCAGCTAAAGGTGCTTGTGGCTTCAAAATCAAATATATTTGTCTGTCCAAATAAAAAATAAATGACCTAAATTTAGTTCGAAATTACATCCTTTAAAATACTGCTAGAATGAAGTAATAACATCGGTTATTTTGACCTTTAATCCCCGGTAATCCAGGAAAACCATCTCGTCCAGGTGGTCCTATCATCCCAGGAAACCCAGGATATCCGGGATCTCCTTTTTCACCTTTTTGACCTGGAGGACCAGGAGGCTGACTGAAGCTCACAGTGGCCATCAAGCAGATGACGGAGAATAAGAGAAGCAGTCTCATCTTCGTAGTTCAGAACTGAAATTTTGGTTAAATATAGTATTAAGTTTTACATATAAAAGCAATGTAGCCCTAACCCTCAAATGGAAGAATGATAAATATTCCAATTATAGACATTCTTTATGCAGAAATTGCTAAATTTAATTAATTTTTTCTAGCTAGCGTGTTGTACTTCTTTATCTTTGTTGTTTTAAAGTGTTTTCAAGAGTTAAAACCATTTGGAAGCACAAAATTTAGTACAATACAGAGATAAACAGGAGAGAACTCACCCCACCAACGAGAAGTGATGTGTTGGGCGTACTGCTTCTTCGCTGCTTCCACAGAAAAAGAACTGAGATATTTGCTAGAAGTAATGTGGGAGGGATTCAGTCCACAGTAAGCAGCTGGAACATCTCATTAGGGATTGTCCATTAACCTCCCTCCTTTCAAACCAAAAAAAGGCCACTGTGTTGTGATACCTTAAAGACTCTATGAATCTAAACATGAGAATACGGATTTGATGTAGTTATGAGTGAATGCAGAAATGATAACGTTTGACTTTATGAGGCACAAACAGTTTCTGCCACTTAACATAAAAGGCAACTCCCTGTACAAAACTCAATTTCAAAAAGAATTGTGCTCATTTTGACTACACAATCATCACTATAAGATTAAAACATGAGTGCATTATTGTTTTAAAGCTCTCTTAAAATTGACAGACTTAAAAAGACAAAGTTCAACATTTAAGATTAATAAATCAGTTGACGCTGAATTGTTTGAAACACATATTTAAAGGAAATTTAACAGCAATTGAATTGAATGTTTAAAATAGTACACTGAGATGTTGCAGAGGTTGTGTGCAATGTAAATATTTCATTACGTTCACTTCTTAGTGAAAAACTACAAACACTGTGAATCAGACTTTTGCAGAATCACCTTTAGCAGCAATAATTTGAACAAAGCATCCTCTGTATGATTTCATCAGGCTCTCTCATAATTGTAGAGGAATTTTGGTACATTTGATTAGCAGCATATGGCTGCTACTTGTCCTCTTAACTCCCATGGAAGCATTAGGGATGCGCTTAAAAGACTCTAGGGAAGAAGTCAAAATACAAATAAGCATTGCTATGTTGGGTGGACCTCCTTTTTGCTCATTCCACAGAAAAATAGCTGAGATATTAGGCCGACCTCCATATAAACAACAGCTGCATACTCTCATATGGGAACTGGGAGTTGGATTAGTGTGTGTGTGTGTGTGGGGGGGCATTTTTAACAACAAATATAACAGCACATACCTTTATTTATATAAAGATTTTACAACCTCTTTTTTGATCTCTGATATTATGAAGTTATGATGACACCTCAATTTTATTCCTAAGTATGTTAATATTTCTTTCCAGCTTTTCAACCACAAGTACAGTATTGCGTTCGCAAAAAGCAAACACCAATCAGCTGAAAAGGCTTTTATGTAGAAATGCACAATATCTGATGTTTTTATAGGAAAACACTACATAAGTGTTCAAAGCACCCTTTGGAAAAAATTAAACAATATCTTCAAATGGCATTGTCTGGGACTGCATTATAACCATGTGAATAATACTTTAATACCTACTTTCACTAGTTCATGATTAGAATGCCACACTTACAAAATTTGTTTCTATTGCAGTTCAATGTTTAATTCTTTATACATTTATTATTATATTTATAGAATTATGAAGATGGAGACAGAAAAAGGCTTTTGTCTAACATAAAGACACTGACATATAGCAGAAAGCACAATAGTGATGCAAAAGCATTTATTTGAAACCATGAAGAGTTAGCTTAGATGATTTATTGACAATACATCAGTCAAGCATCAGAATAACTGACTTAAACTTAGGTCTGTGAGATAATAGTTATTCCTATTACAATGCATTCATGAATTCATTGCCATTGGGAGTTTCACTTCAGTTGGTCAACTGAGAATCGTTGGTCTCATTTTTAATACTACAAAGTTTTCTTTCTTCCACAAAATGCAGCCCTGATGCTTTACCCATAATTCATAAACAACTGCAAGCTTAGATTTTTTCTTCCATTGGGGTAAATGAGAACATTTCTCTACATGTAATATAAGAAATAAAAATGCAATAAAAATGTTGAGATAAACATGATAGTGGGGGGAAATTGCCAAAAGCAAGATTCGCAAGGAACCGGGATTTTTCTATAACTGACAAATGATGTAAGCATTCATCGAACATTCTGGTGTAACTTGCCAGATGCCGTTTTCTGACAGCATGGTGCAGCCTGTATCTTGGATGGATTTGTCTGGCTGACCTTCTCCCCACTTGGTAAATGTCAGACGTTGGTTTTTCATATCCACCTCAAAATTTCCCTCTGCCTTTTTGTTGTTGACACTGATCCAAGCTGCCTTGTAAACATCGCCAAACACTTGAGTCAGTGCGTTGTTCTCCTCCTCGTTCTGGGGCAGAGCCAACTCTATGTGTTGTTGGGAGCAGAATTCGACAGCCCTGGAGAAAGAGCCTCTCTCCTTGTTGGACACAAAGTATTTCTGACCAACTCTCCGGACAAAGTGATAGTTAATGGCTAGAGAACACAAAAATGTCAGGGAACAAACTGTGACTCAGAAATCATTATCAACAAAGGTAAATAAGCAATTAGGAAACAATGAAAAAAGCTTCATCTACATGGTGCATTTGTCATAGTTAGATACAAGAAAGGCAAGTAAAATCAAATTTTAAGAACACAGAGCTTGTAGGAACAAGATCACACACCATACCCAAAATCTCTGGAGGCTTCTAAATGAATATGCCAATTCATCACTCATCTTCAAATGTTTTTAGCTTTGATGTTCTGATCAGCTGTTTTTTATTGCTGCTAACTGTTAATCAACTAACTTTTTTAATGTTGATCAAGTTGTAACATCAGGCAAAAACACTGGATTTATTGTAAATTGCAACAACAAATTATTAACGGATGGTCTTTGAAAGAGTTTTAAATAATTAATAATGCCTTGATGATGATACTTACCCAGTTCTAACTCAGCAAGTCTGCTTTTTAAGGTTTGAACATCTGGGCAACTGGATTCAACTGTAGCTGAAATTAAATTGTGAGCATACAACAGGAATGAAAGGAGCTGTGTGGTCTATTTTTCTTTTAAATTACAGAGCATCAACTAATTCACTGTGCAATCTGTCATCAAACTGATCTTGTGCTGTCTGACACAGATTGGACTAATATCAGTATGCTACATGGGATCTTCTCATCTTATTGTATCTTATCTTTACCTTCAGTGCACACTGTTTCTCCAGGGTGCCCAGGAAGCCCATATATTCCTACATCCCCTGAAAGCAAAGAAACAGACATAAAGCCTTCTAACGTCAAAGTACATAAATATGTGTCAAAATCAAACGATGATAAGAAGTTATATTCTTTACAACATTCTTGTGGTGAACTCATAATATTTTTGACCTGATTCACCAGGACGTCCAGGCAGTCCAGGAATTCCAGGTCCCCCACGTAGTCCAGGCACTCCTTGTGTCCCAGAAACTCCTCGATCTCCTTTCTCACCTTTAAGACCAGGAGGACCTGGAAACTGAGTGTAGGTGATGCGGGCCGACAGGCACAAGATGCACAAAAAAAGAAGTGGGCTCATCTTCTCAGTGAAGAACTGAAATGATAATTAAAAATATATGTAATGTACGTTTTTCCCAGATTTACCTTGGTTTGACTGATTCAATGTGTAACAAAAATGAAATCTGATCATTCAAAACAGAGATTGTATTAAATATTGTGATTGTAGCTCCGAGGGATTTTCTAGGTATATGTTTAGAATGTCAAGCAATACTTCAAACAATATGTAACACTCATGATAACATTAAATTTAGTAGAATAAAGCAGTAAGCAGGAAAGTACTTACAATATAAATGAAGAGCAGTCTGTTGGGTGTACTGCCTCACTGCTAATGTCCCAACAAAATAACCGAGATATTAGGTAGAACTAATGTAAGATGGATCGTTCTCTCCAAAGTAAACAACAGCTACAAAATCCCATTTGGGATAGAAAAAAATGTCAGAATGTAGAATCCTCCCTCTTGTGCTGAAGCACAACCTACTTTCCAGATTGATATTTTTTCAGCACTCTTTATTTCCCCACCACAAATAAAGCATGGTTTAAGACAAAAAACAGTCTTTCTTCAGGTATTTGTGCAGACAAACTTCAGTGTGAAACAAAGTATGGTGACACAGAGCATAGTTTTCATGCAATAGAAATACCACACTCACAAAATGTATGTTTCTGAAAAGTATAAATACTTGGCTTGGGTCTGTTTTTAACATTTAAAACTTCAAACATGTTGAACTTAGTGTAGCAAAGACATTGACAGAGACATATGGGGCCAAGTTGATGATAAAGATTACTAAATGAGCTTCAGATTTCCAGTTTTGGAAACAATGCAACAGTCGTCAACTTGTTGCGAACAATTAACTTAACTCGTTGTTAAGACAAATAGGCTTGTTGTGTTTTAATTGCTCATTTGTTTCATAATTTCTTTATCAGTGCATGAAAAATGTCTACGATAATATGTTTCTAAAGTGAATTGCATCTCCAAGGTGGTCCCTGAGAATTGTTGCACAGACAGCAAATCCAAATCCATGTATAGTAATTATGCACAGGGAGACATTATGAATCCAGATAAACAGTAAAATCTTTACTTGTGTCAAAATTTGTGACAGGCACAAGAGGCAGAAAAAAGCAGCTCTTAATGCATCCATTTAACTGTTAGTAATAATTATTGCTTTATTGAAGTTTTGAAAATATCTTTGGTTTAAAAAAAAAAAAAATCTTTGGTTAAGTAACTGTTTTTGAGACCCCGTTAGAGTCAAAATTTTGTTGCTTCTGGAGTCCAAAAGTCTTCTACTTATAGCCTTTTTATGTGTGTCCAGACTATTCTTTGACATTCTTTAAAATTACACTTTTGTCTCATTGCATGTTTGCAACACCTTTTAAATTACTGCTAACTTATGGTCACAGCTGGCTATTCTCTTGGGAAGCAGGGTTGCTTCCGATTCCATTGGAATCTTTTAATAATGACTTGAGTACGGAATTATATATTGGTTAAAAGTGGCATATGAGAGAAAACATATCATCACTAAAATTTAATTTCACTGGCACAGGCATTCATTCCCACTTGCACAATTAAATTCTTTGAAAGTGTCCAACAGCGCTCCAGCTGATTCATGCTGTCAGTTAGATCTCAAAGCTGAATTCTGCTCGCTAAAATCAATCTGATCTAACTACTTGCTAAACAGACCTGTTGAGTCAGGATAAAAATGGCAAACGGGTGATTTACACAAGCACTCCTATGTGTGTCCGTGCTCTCTGCGGTAGAGTATCACTTCCTAGGGATGGGCAAATTAAGCTTTCTGAAGCATTGAAGTACTGCAAAACGGTTCATTACTCAAAGCTTTTCAACACAGTTATCTTTGGTGACATCTGGTGGCCAAAAGCTTGAATCTACAATTTATAATGAACAGCTTTATTATGATTGACCACTTTACAGCTGAACTGACAGCTTCTGTTTGATCATGTGATAGTTCTGTCTGATAACGGAATGATATGGTGCTTCGGACATGAATATTTTTTTTTTATGTTATGTCTATTTTAATAATAAATGTGTATTTAAATCCTCTGTTTACCTCCGTCCGTTCTTGTGATCGCCCTCATTCCCCACCATGTGTTCCACACACTTGCTTAGCTCACACATTTCTCAGTTTGGTTTTTGTATTGTTTAGTTTAGTTCGGCTGCCTTTTTTGACTTCCTTTTCACCCAAATGAGTCTCCATTTGGGTCTATCCCTGCCTGCTTCACACGGCTATTCACAAGAGTATTTGGTTCCAAATATGTTAGGGTTTAGAATTTCAACTTCAGACATTGCACCTCACAGAATCTTTGACATTATTATGTGACTAAATGTCAATCTGTGAACAACTATTAACATCATCTCCAAGATCCAACTTTAGGAGGCATTTTTTCTATCAGTGTGACAAATTACAACAGGACAAATGAGTGATTATTGATTAGTGTGCTGAAAAGTCTGACTGCCTGACAGTCTGACAACTTAATTTCCAGTTAGAAAAATGGAGGCTATAGATTTTATTCTGAGTGGATTATAAATCTCCATTGTAATCACTGTCTCCATCTTTATATATTGATGACTGAATGATTAAGTGTTTGTGTTAAAAACAAAAAATAACGAACTAATGGGATGTCAGTATTTGTAAAACTATAAAAATCTACTAATTAGTTTTCTGCAGCTTGTGTTTTAAAGAGCAAGGTGCAGATGTGATGCAGAAGTGGTTTCCACTTTATGAAAGAGGAAATTAATTGGTGTCTCACAGTTAGCTTCGCTGCAATAACAATAATAATAATATCTCTGCTATAACTGACAAATGCACTCAAGGAGGCATTTCAGTGTAACTTGCCAGGTGCTATTTTCTGACAGCATGGTGCAGCCTGTATCTCCCCATTTGGCAAAGGTCAGAGGTTGGTTTTTCATGTTAACCTCAAAATTCCCCTCTGTCATGTTATTTCTGACATTGGTTTAAGCTGCTGTGCAAACATCCCCCACACCCTTTGGTCAATGCGCTGTTCTCCTGCTCACTCTGGGACACAGCCAGCTCAAGTGTTGATGCGTGCAGAGTTCTTATTTCTGGACTACAAGGCGAAGGAAACTCTATCCTTGCAAGAGTATTCTGACCAACTCTTTGGACAAACTTGTAGCTTGTAGCTGAAGAAAAAAGAAATCAAACAATGAACCAAATTTAAGAACAATTTATTAAGCAAATTTATCATTTCTGTGCATTTGTCATTTTTTAGACTCACACACACGAACAGACACTTTTTTGTTTCTCACGTTGATCCAGGCCTTTTTGTAAATATATCCAAAAACTTGATTTAGTATGATGTTCTCTTCCTCATTCTTGTGCAAAGTCAGCTCTGTGACGTGTTTGTAAAAACTGCTTTATTTAATCTTTTTCATCCCTAACAGTGGACAAAACATATTGTGTGGAAGAAAAGTCACATGGCGCCTGAAATTACCCTTTTATGTGACCAAGGGAGCAGAATGTGGCTACTTCATAGCTTAAATAGTGGCCTTGGTGACTTGCTCCCATTTACCAAAAAACAAACTGTATATGTTCCTCTGAGTTCTGTGTAAAGTTTCTTGAGTCAAAAGTGAAAATAATATGGACCATTTCAAAGTGGTGGCATAAACGTAGTAAAGTCGAAGAAAAAAACAGCATGACACAAAAATATATACAGGGAGTGCAGAATTATTAGGCAAATGAGTATTTTGTCCACATCATCCTCTTCATGCATGTTGTCTTACTCCAACCTGTATAGGCTCGAAAGCCTACTACCAATTAAGCATATTAGGTGATGTGCATCTCTGTAATGAGAAGGGGTGTGGTCTAATGACATCAACACCCTATATCAGGTGTGCATAATTATTAGGCAACTTCCTTTCCTTTGGCAAAATGGGTCAAAAGAAGGACTTGACAGGCTCAGAAAAGTCAAAAATAGTGAGATATCTTGCAGAGGGATGCAGCAGTCTCAAAATTGCAAAGCTTCTGAAGCGTGATCATCGAACAATCAAGCGTTTCATTCAAAATAGTCAACAGGGTCGCAAGAAGCGTGTGGAAAAACCAAGGCGCAAAATAACTGCCCATGAACTGAGAAAAGTCAAGCGTGCAGCTGCCAAGATGCCACTTGCCACCAGTTTGGCCATATTTCAGAGCTGCAACATCACTGGAGTGCCCAAAAGCACAAGGTGTGCAATACTCAGAGACATGGCCAAGGTAAGAAAGGCTGAAAGACGACCACCACTGAACAAGACACACAAGCTGAAACGTCAAGACTGGGCCAAGAAATATCTCAAGACTGATTTTTCTAAGGTTTTATGGACTGATGAAATGAGAGTGAGTCTTGATGGGCCAGATGGATGGGCCCGTGGCTGGATTGGTAAAGGGCAGAGAGCTCCAGTCCGACTCAGACGCCAGCAAGGTGGAGGTGGAGTACTGGTTTGGGCTGGTATCATCAAAGATGAGCTTGTGGGGCCTTTTCGGGTTGAGGATGGAGTCAAGCTCAACTCCCAGTCCTACTGCCAGTTTCTGGAAGACACCTTCTTCAAGCAGTGGTACAGGAAGAAGTCTGCATCCTTCAAGAAAAACATGATTTTCATGCAGGACAATGCTCCATCACACGCGTCCAAGTACTCCACAGCGTGGCTGGCAAGAAAGGGTATAAAAGAAGAAAAACTAATGACATGGCCTCCTTGTTCACCTGATCTGAACCCCATTGAGAACCTGTGGTCCATCATCAAATGTGAGATTTACAAGGAGGGAAAACAGTACACCTCTCTGAACAGTGTCTGGGAGGCTGTGGTTGCTGCTGCACGCAATGTTGATGGTGAACAGATCAAAACACTGACAGAATCCATGGATGGCAGGCTTTTGAGTGTCCTTGCAAAGAAAGGTGGCTATATTGGTCGCTGATTTGTTTTTGTTTTGTTTTTGAATGTCAGAAATGTATATTTGTGAATGTGGAGATGTTATATTGGTTTCACTGGTAAAAATAAATAATTGAAATGGGTATATATTTGTTTTTTGTTAAGTTGCCTAATAATTATGCACAGTAATAGTCACCTGCACACACAGATATCCCCCTAAAATAGCTAAAACTAAAAACAAACTAAAAACTACTTCCAAAAACATTCAGCTTTGATATTAATGAGTTTTTTGGGTTCACTGAGAACATGGTTGTTGTTCAATAATCACATTATTCCTCAAAAATACAACTTGCCTAATAATTCTGCACTCTCTGTAAAAGTTGCATTCTGTCATTGGGCATACCCATGGGTCCGAGTACATCTCCTAAAAAATGACCTTGCACTGTAATCCCTCCTCCACCAAATTTACACTTTGCACAATGCAGTCAGACAAATGCCATTGTCTTGGCATCTGCCAAACCCAGACTCTCCCACCCATCAGATGGAGAAGCATGATTTGTCACTCTAGAGAAAATGTCTCCACTGCTCCACAGTCCAGTAGCAGCAGGCTTTACACAACAGCATCCGACACTTTGCATTGTGCTTGGTGATGTAAGGATGCGCTGCTCAGCCATGGAAACCCATTCCATGAAGCTCTCTACATACTGATCTTGAGCTAATCTGAAGGCCACATGAAGTTTGGAGGTCTGTAGCAATTGACTCTGAGTTGCTGTCATTGCAAATACTTCTTCTTTGTTACAATACCATTAACAGTTGACTGTGGAATATTTAGTTAGGTAATATTCTATCATGATACCACACCGGAAGTCACTGAGCTCCTGAGAGCAACCCATTCTTTCATAATTGTTTGTATAAGCAGTCTACAGCCTAGCTGTCTGACTTTATACACTTGTTGCCATGGAAGTGATTGATCCAGTGATTTGGATGGGTGAGGGAATACTTTTAGCAATGTAGTGTATTTATGAATATGCTTAGGCAAAAGTAAATATTTTGTAAAACAAAAGCTGAAAAATTTAGCATTAACAGATGATTTAGATGAACTGATGTAAATTAAACATAAAATGTATCATGTCTGAATAAGAAACACAAGGATCATTTTGATCTTTTTTCATTGCTTCCTCACTCAGCTGAAAATACACATATACACATAAATGTGGGATTTGTGTTTGTTTGTTTTGGGAGTTTTTTTGCAGTTCTTCTCATGAGACATTTCTATAACTGACAAATGATGTGGACATTGAGAGAACATTCGTGTGTCACTTGCCAGGAACCATTTTCTGACAGCATTGTGCAGCCTGTATCCTCAATGGATTTGTCTGGCTGCCCTTCTCCCCAATTTTTAAAGGTCAAAGGTTGATTTTTCATGTCAGTTTTAAACTCCCCCTCATCTTTTTTATTGTTCACATTGATCCAGGCTTTGGCTCTGAATTTGCCATGAACTTGAGTCAGTGCGTTGTTCTCCTCCGCGTTCTGTGGCAACGCCAGCTCTAAACCACGTTGGCTGCAAAACACTACAGCCTCTGAGAAACTGCCTCTGTGCTTGTTGGAGACAAAGTATTTTTGATCAACTATTTGGACAAAATCATAGTTTACAGCTGAAAAAAAGCACAGAAAAGTAAAATTAGAAAAAAAGACATTTACTTGTAGGCAATCTTAAGGATATGTTTTCTGGCAAAATAATTGTTGCCTTTTCTAAAGCTTATCTAAAGATTCTTATTCAGTTAAATTTTATTTTACTAATATACCATGAATTGTCTCAAAAAAGAAACTTGGATTTTGAAGTAAAACCTCTAAATATGAGAATTTTATTAATGTTAATCAATAATATGTTCTTTACAGCTACTGCATTGCCATTGGAAAAGTATTTTGTTACTGTTTATCAATATAGTTTTTACAGTGTTGACTTCAGGTTATTGTTGTTGCAAACTGGTGGTATTTTAATAAAATAAAATTAAAAACTGACTATGTAGTCTTTTCTTTATCAATTTAAGGAATGCTGTTTATTATACTATTATTGATTACAATAGTGACGTGACCTCTTAGCTTCATTCAGTGACAGCAAATCTTTGCGTTAATCTGAACAAAATAATACAAATAGGCATCAATTTGAGTCCTGACTACAGCTGCTGATCATCTACAACCTACTTTGCAACCCACTACCACACCAGTCCCTTCTGTGGCTGACAACAACATCTTGACTATTGTTACTTATGTCTGGTTTGCTTTAAATTGTAGGTGGGGGTGGTCTTAATACAGTTTTCTCCATTGAAGAGTCCTGTGTATGTAATAGTGAGGCCAAACTCCCCAGAACAGAGATATACCATCAAATTTAAAATACAGCAGAAATAACAGCTGTCTGTTATGCTATAAAATAGCAGTTATGTATTTGAAACAAATGAATATGGATAAGATACTTACCAAGTTTAAACTTGGCAATTCTCTTCATTAGCTTTTCAGTGTCGCTTTGAAAAGAGCCAATAGGATCTGGACAAAACACATTAGAGTTAACAAAGTGTGTATTTATTCATTTGCATATTTAGTTATCCGTCTTTTTCCACGTCTCTCAAAACTGTAAAATAATTATGAAAACATAAGAGACATCTCACAATACAATGCATCTGGTGCTAAACCTGGTTCAGTATATACTAAAAGTTTTGTCTGCATAAAGGTTTTGTCATGGAGTCCCGGGACTCAGTGATTTTGGGTTTGGTGTATAATTATTATTATTATTATTATTATTATTATTATTATTATTATTATTATTATTATTATTATTATTATTAGTGATGTTCTAGCTTTGGGATGATTTGTGTTCTGGTGCTGGGATTCTGGGTTGGTGCTCCCTCTGTTGGTCCCTGGTGTTAGTGTTTCCTCTGTCTCGTCAGGTTAATCAGGTCCAGCTGTGTCTCCCACCTGTGTATGTGTGATTTCCCAGTGTCCCTCTGTGTGTTTATATGTTGTGTAAACTCATGTGCTCATGACTGGTCCGTCTGTGTTCGTCTCCTGGAAAACTGTCTGTGAATCCACTGTGTCCTCTCCCTGCTGTCCCCCTTCGTGTTCAGGATTCCCGTTAAATTACGTTTCTCCCAGTTTATGGTAAATGGCCTGCATTTGTATAGCGCTTTTCTAGTCCCTAAGGACCCCAAAGCGCTTCACAATACATTCAGTCATTCATCCATTCACACACACATTCACACACTGGCACTTCACACTTAGATTACCCTTAGTTCTGTTTTTGTAATGCCGTCTTTGTGTTTGCCTTTTGCAATAAACCTCCCTCACAACTCAGTAAGTGCCTGCATTTGAGTCCTCTTTGTGGGATGTGTGGGAGCTGCAGCCCTGACAGGTTTACCAGACATACTTTGTATTAGATGGGAGCTTGACTTCCCTAATAAGCTAAACCATAGTGAATTGTGATTCAACTCCCAAAACCATTATCCTTTCAGAAACCTAACCAATTAAGTTTAGAGACTAAACCTAGAGAAAAACTGAGAAAGTAAAATTAAAACTAAAACTAAAAGAAAAGAAAGATCAAATATAAGGAGAAAAAATGGTCTCAAAATGGAGTCAAGACAAACACCACCAACCTTCTTTGTTTTTAAGATTTTTGGTTTTCACTAGAAACTTAAAAGAGCATATTTTATGGGAATGTAGTTTTCGTGTGTTGTATATTTATGATTAAACTGCTATTAGTTGTTCCCTTATTCACAAGTTGTCAACACAGTAGGTAGCCCTGCATGTTTTTGCCTTAGATGCCCTCCCTGACACAACCCCAAAGGGTTTTAAGTTACACAGGATTGAATTCAGATATGACTTGTTAGGTAAATGTATAAACCACAACACCATAGAGCCACTATTAAAGTGTGTGTCTGTGAAGTTCCCTCTGGAATCAATAAAGTTATTCTTATGTTCTAACCTCGTCCACACATTATAATAGTTCCAGGTGGGCCAGGCTGTCCAGGTTTTCCGATTCGTCCATTAGGTCCTGGAAATCCAGGTAGTCCTTGACGCCCTTGAGCCCCTAAAGTGAAGATATAAACACATCAAATAAGATGTGAAGTTCATACCAATGTTTCCAGTTTCTGGTTTTCCAGAGAAAAAAAATTACCCTGTTGTTGTTTATAAATGTCGTCCATATAAGGTGGGGAAAATGATCATGTACACAACACAACAATGTGAAAAAACCCATGTTGGAGCCAAATTGTTAAATGTTGCCAATATTGTACTTAAATTTGTAAGTCTTGGTTCAAACTATGTGATCAAAGGTTGCAAGGATTTTTTTCCCCTTAATAATAAACCCCTTTATTAAGAAACTGCAATTTGTATTTACTTGTTTTATCTTTGTCTAATATTCAAATTTGTTTGATGATCGGGAACATTTAAGTGTGACAAACATACAAAAAGAAAATATGAAATCAGGAACACAGGAAACACTTTTTCAAACCAGTGTAGCTCTTACGCTAAGGAAGTTATGAGGGCTTACTTTTTCCCAAATATATTGTAGATATATTGATCCAGAACGTGGGCCTAATTCAAATCCGAACACATCACCACTTACTGTCACGGTCCTGGCTCGGTGACCCAGTGTTTTGTGTTGTTTATTATTAGAAGTCTGTTTTTGTAATGTTTTTGAGGCTTCCCATGTTATTATATTTAGCTTCACCCAGTTTAGGTTTTTATAGCATTTTTAGTTCTTCCCTTCATTAGTTGTTTTGCAGTCTTTTGTAGAGCCTCTAATAAAGGCTGGCTTTCAGTTTAAAAGTTCTCTTGCATCTGTGTCTGCGTTTGAGTCCACATTATCTTATCTCCAGTTCGATCACACCTGGGGCACACATGTCAACAGAATCTAACTGAAAGAAACCTACATACATAACATACACAACACAAGTGACTATAGCAATAAACTAGGAAACTAACACTGACATGGAGACTGAGACACACAAACTTGACGTAGACAAGGGAAAATTACATGGAGACATGACTGACAGGGTAAACAAGGCAAACTACAGAGACAGGGCACAGAGGGACCAAAGAGACACGGGGACTCAACTGTGGAGAAAGAAGGTGAATAAACATAGAAGCAAGACCGACAACATACACAGGACACTAGGGAAGACACACAGATGCTAGACTAAGAAAACATGGGCTCAAAAGCGAACAAAGAACTAAGAACTAAACGCATAAATAATTAAAATAGGAAGCACTGGGAAATACTAGACACAAAAGACTAAACAATGTAGAACTATAAAGAAATCACATAAACCTCAAAACAACATTCAACAGTCCAAAATCAAAAAAGCAAATACCCAGAACCATGTGAGGCACAAATATGTTAGACCATGAAGTAATTTCCAGGAAAATCTGTTTGTTTTTTAATGGAAGTATTTGTTGAACTACTGCTTAAAATTTTTAAAAACCTATAAAAAAAGTCCTGTACAATACACTTGGCATTATGGGGTTAAAAATAACCCTCCCTGAGAGTGTATTTGGGGGGATGTTTATCACACTCACCAGGTTCTCCTTTCAAGCCTTTCTGTCCTTGTTTTCCAGGTTCTCCATATGCCCCGGGTTCTCCAGGTGACCCAGGTGGGCCTTTAGGACCAGGAGGACCAAAAAGCTGACTGTAGCCCACAGGAGCCATGAGGCAGAAGGTTATGACAAAAACAAATGGCTTCATCTTCTTTATGCAACTCTGAAATGTGACATGTTGGAAATTATTTTCTAATGAAAATCTTCTTCAATTTTTATGATAATTTAAATAAATGAAATCAAAGAAAACTAACAGTTTGTTTGGTTGCAGGTTGTCAGCTGAATAGAAAAAACTGTACTTTTTAGAGACAAATACTCACAGTTTAAATGACGAATGATATGGATGTGATCTTTCTTTGCAGCTTCCAAACAGAAGTGGCAAAGAAAAAAAGTCAAAGTGAGATATATAAGACATCCAGCCCAGCTATAATGAGAGACAGGTGAAAAAAAACCAGAGTCTGCCTCTGGTGTCATAATCGAGAGTTCACTTACAACCGATGCCTTTTAAAAGTTTTTCCTTCCACTCACAAAAGGCAAACCACTGTGATCAGTTAAACGTGAATAATCAAAAGGCCTGCATTCCTAGATCTGAAATATAGCAGGGTTTAGATTAAAGATAAATAGAATCTGATCAGTAACGTTGGTTCGGTATTGGTGAAAGATTTTCTTATTTACAGTTTCTGTTAGTGTTCTGATCATAATTCCAATTGACATTTAGTAAATATGATCAAGCAGTAATTTCACAGTTATTAGAAAGGATAGCCAGATGCAGATGATGTAATTTTTTTAAACTGAATTTTTATAAATGTAAATTGCAAAGTTATTCAGTTATGTTAGTGTCAAATTGTATTAAAATGAAAATAAAATAGAAACTCACCATTATACGTAAGTAGTTATCGTCTAGTTGTGCTGCTTCATGTACAGCTTTAAAACAATTTCAGAACCCAAAGTCAAAAATATCTGACACTCTTTGGAGAGGAAATAAAAACCAGGTGAGTATTTTGTTGGACACAGAAAAGAGGGGGAGGGGGAGGCGGGAGTATGAGGCCCAAAGCCTGCCTCTTTTTAGCTAAAACACTCTGAGAAAGACAAATATGTGTATCATGAAACAAATTGTAGTTCAAACTTTACTATTTTATTATATTAAACCACAAAGAACACAGACTTATCTTTGATGAAACATGTATTTTACATAGTCCAGGTCATGGTCTGAGGAGCTTGGAAAGAAAAACCATACGACTGTTTTAAATTTCTTGAAGACATTTTGTCTCTCATCCAAGAAGCTTCATTAAGTCTGAGACCAAATGGTGGAGACTCCCAGGATTTTAAGCGCTAGTGGGAGTTTTCCTTCAAGAAGGTTGTTGAGCCATTATTGATCATGTTCCTCATCACGTGTGCCAAGGTTTGAAAAAGAGTGTGGGTCATTATTATCAGAGTTTTCAGGTGAAACCACTGTGAGACCTTGCCTCACCCTATCATGTGACTTACTGAGATCAACTGACACAAGATGTGAGTGGGCATTAAGGCACCTGAGAAGGGATCTCAAAACTGGATTATAGATGATAGACAGTTGGTGTCTGTGACACAAAGGACCCAGAAGTACACACTGTTAACAGGCTGGTTACATTTTATTTGCCACTTTTTAAATAATTCTGATCAGCTTTCAGCTGACATGCTCATGGTGCAGCCTTTTTCTCTCCTGTCGCAGCTGGTAACTGAAATAGCACGACTGATCACACCAACCAGTCCCAGCTGGTCTGCCAGCCTTCTGGCACTGCTCACCGGACACACTGCCCTACCAGTCCTTTGCAGCAGAGCTGCAGACCACACCCCTGCCACATACCTCCAGCACCCAACTAAGGCCAGAGAGCCATCCGGGCGACCCTACCACCCACGAGAGGGAGAGGAAATCAGCCATGACCACCTTGAAATGAAAAGACTGGAGAGCGAGATACCACTGGGTGATTAAGTAGATCCCAGTGGGGATTCAAGATGGCGTCTGTGTGTGTGGCTTGCCACCAGCTGTTACATGTTTTGATTCTACTAACCCTGCTTATATCTGTTTTTCTCAACAATGTCTCTACTCTTTTGGTGTATGATTTCCAATTGCTATTAACCATCCGAGCCACTGTTGATGGGCAGTATCATATGGCCCCAGGATGTGAGGATTACCGAGTCCCACCTGTGGTAGAAACTGTACCACTGTTTCTCTGCCGTTATCCACCTAGCCTTCCCCTCAGGAAGAAATCCTACAGAAGGCGAGGGAAATGCCTTCTGTAGGAATACTGGTAAGACTCAGAAACTGCGTCGCTACTTACACGGCAGCCTCGGACATCAAGTTGTTCATCTCCTGGAATCGGCACCCGTTCCCGATTCCAGGGAGCATTCCAGAGAAGATATCCAGCATTCCAGGGAAAATATCCAGCTTCCACGGTATTCTTCCCCACGTCTTCGCAGGGGTGAAGTGGATTACCAGAATCTTTGCCCTGTCCAGTCTGGTTTTAAAACGCATCATAGCACTGAAACTGCTCTTTTAAACGTTTCTAATGACCTTTGAACTTTTACAGACTTGGGGGATTCTGCCATTTTAATATTACTAGATCTCAGTACTGCTTTTGATACGGTGGATCATAGGATTCTTATCTCTCGACTGGAACAATATGCTGGTATTAAAGGGACTACATTGCAATGGTTTAAATCTTACCTATCTAATTGATCCTTCTCTGACACATTATCCCCCAAGGACCTCGCACCTTTTGTGGGGTCCCTCAGAGATCTATTCTTGGCCTGGTTCTCTTCTCAATTTGCATGCTTCCTTTGGGTGCTATTTCTAAAAAATATGGTATCTCCTTTCACTGTTATGCAGATGATTTACAGATCTACCTCCCACTGAAACGCAAATCTGCTAACCCTCTGAAGACACTGTTCGATTGTCTGGAAGACGTGAAGGCATGTGTAGCCGGATGGGCTACTGGCCCTTCTTTTTCTCTCTCTCTCGCTTGCTCTACCACCCTCGCTCTCTTTCCGCTGCACTCGCTACTTGTATCATGTGATTGGGTTAATTAGGAACCCACCTGCATATTGATTACAGGGTGGTGTTTACCTGTATAAAGGGAAGCCGGTTTTTTTGTTGGATCATTCCTTCTGGTGCGATACAGCAGTAAATGCTGGCCTATTGGTTAATTCACCGATACAATCGGATTGTGTGACTGCTACAGGTAGGCCTCCTTTCGACCTCTTCCTCTCAAAAGTCGGTAACTAGTAGTCATAATTCTGCGGCCCGCTACAGCGCGGCTGTTTCTCTTTCTTTACTCCAGCTGTGGTGGAGAGAGGCGTGAGTTGCGTTCACCGTACAGTACAGCGCCTCCAGTCTTGGGTTAAGCCGCTTATATTATAGCTGCTAGTATTTGTAAATTAGAGACGATTAAGGTTATCTTTGCCTTTTTGTTTGTTTGTAGGGTTTGATTGCTGCCGCACCTTCTCAGGGACCAACTGCCTGATTTTTAAGCAAAGAGTCGAGACGCCTGCCTAGCTGCTGTCTTGTCTTGCCCTGTTTCATCTTGTGTTCCGATCTGTTGGCCGTCCAGTTTTATTCCCGCTGCTGGCCCCGCCTCACCCCTGGGGGCTTTGGGTTTCATGCTAAGCCCTTTTTGGACTATCGTTTTACTCCAGCTTTCCCGGCTGGTCGGGGCGATCTTCAGCTGCAAATTGGGCTGGTGTTACAAAAACCGGTACAGCCTCTCTCTTTCCCTCTCCCAGTTGCGGAGAGCTGCGCGAGACTGAGTAGGGCTACGGACAATCGGAACCAGCACCAGCTGTGGGCTGGCTCGCAGACCACGAGTGTTTCTAATCTGTGCTCTGTGGTGTGTATGTGGGTGTGTTTTATTACAGGTCTCCGGTTTCCTTTTAATTTCTTTCTTTTTTTAGTATATAGAGCGCCTTTTTATGTCCCATGTTTTTTTTGTTTTTTTTTAATCCTGTTTAACATGTATATCTTGTGCTTTTATTTCAGTGAACTGAGGATTTACCAGCGGCCGTGGGACCTTAGGTGGCGGGTCGTTTTCCACACTTTTGTTGTACAGCACCAGGTGAATAGACTATAGTGGGGTTTTTTTGTGTGGTTTTCTTTTGGTCCACCGCTGCTGGTAAGTCCCAGTTGTATGTTTATTTTGTTGTAATTTGGGACACTATTTTAGACATTTAGTGCACTGTCTTTGTTGTTTTGTTTTTATTTTTTTAATAAATAAAATGGTGTTAATACATTGAGCCGGCCTCAGTGTGCATCCCTGAACCTGTGCAAACGTTGTTTTTTTTAAATTAAATTTCATTTTTAAAGTTTATATTTCCTGGGGGCTAGAATTCCCCCCAGGTGGCGTTGTCATTTTATCATTTCTTTTATAACCCCACCGACCACTTGGTCACACATGGATAGCTTTAAATTTTCTCAATCTAAATGAACAGAAAACTGAGATCATTGTCTTTAGCCCTCGTGACCATTACAACCTTCGCCCCTTGGAAAATTATAAAAAAACTGTTGGCAAAGAATTTAGGTGTGATTTTTGATAGTAATTTGACATTCGATAAACAGATAAATAATGTGATCAAGACCAGCTTCTTTCACCTCCGCTTAGGTCCCTAGGTCTAGATTAAAACACAGAGGAGATCGGGCTTTTGCTGTGACTGCTCTGAAAACTGTGGAATAAACTGCCTTTACATATCAGGAAATATCCAACACTGGATACTTTTAAAATTTGTTTAAAGACCCATTTTTACTCTTTGGCTTTTAATTCTGTATGAGTCTGTCATTATTTTATTCTTATTATTTTCTTATCTTTCATTTTACTTTCCTTTTAAATTTTATCTGATTATTTTATTGTAAAGTACTTTGGTCAACAGTTGTTTTTAAAAGTGCTATATAAATAAAATCGATTGATTGATCTGAGCATTCACATCCTTCATGCAATGGAGCCATTGCAGTGGGGTATGGTCTGAACAGAGGCCTGCATACTATGCCAGCTACTTGGTTGTGGCATTACCTGTATGTGTGGCCTGCTAGCATGTAATGGATTGTCTCAGGGGCATCGTTACACCGCCTGCACCTGGGGTCTTGCCAGATGTGATAGACCCCAGCTTTTATTGATCTTGTGCTTAGAGCTTGTTCCTTTGCTGGCATGACTAGGTCCTCTGTGCTGTCTCGGTACATTTTATACATATCCCTGTACATTCTATATGTATCTCAGTACATTTTTTATCTGTTCGAATTTCGGTTGCTTATGTATATGGGACTACTTTTGTTTAGATCTACCTTGCTATAAGAGCTGTGTAACACCCAAATTTCTAATCCGTGGGATAATGAAGGTTTTTTTCTATTCTGTCTTTCAGTCCAGCTTTCTTCAGCCATTGGTAGGATTGCTCGATATCAATCACTTCTTCTATCTCCTGGTGGGACACATCGTGCAGCATTCTGTCCTTCCATTGTAGTTTCTCTTCTTGCTCCTCTTCTTTCTTGGGTTTCTGCTGCCCGAGGTGCTCACTAAGCACATGATAATCTCTGGTTGCAT